GACTCTGATCCATCACGCTATCTACCTTGGACACAACTTATCAGATGGAGATTAATCTTTCAAAAGACAATTATCCCAAGCACACAGTAAATTAAGTGAAACAAAGAGGCCAATGGAACACTCATAACTATAGTTTCGATATGAACATTCTTGAGGCAGTATAGTTTATGTAAAAACTGAGACAGCCAACAGCTGAATAAACAACACGGTTGAATTGTGAGGAGTAACAAAATACATTTAAAACAATATTCTACACTCGTGCTTGGATAAACAATATGTATGGCAGCATGAAAACAAAGTGCAATACTCTGTGTAAAGCAGAGAGGTAATAATACAAAATGTCAGTGCATTGTAGAACTACACTTTTCTATTTTCTGTGATAATGTTTTCAACCATTAATAGATCCACCATCCAGTAGTCTTTGCTTGTTGTTTGCACCTCCTGTATGTATATCTCATGTGTCTTTCCATAATTATTCATACACTGTATGTTTGTGTGAATGTGTGCGTTGACCGTAAACGCGTCGAACATCGTATGAGGCTATTTTCCTGTTTTATTACAAACGACGAGCTCTCCTGTACTTTATTTGTGGTTAAGAATTTTCTTCCTCGCTGATTTAACAACCAATCATTGCATTGGAAGTGTGATAACAAAATGCCAGCAGCGTACAATTGACAGTTCATGGCTTTTGGAATATACAGCCAAAACATACTACATGCAAATGATAAGTTAGAAAACATTTGTAAAAATCAATTTAAATTAGAAATATTCGTTTTTATCACCGAAAAGAAAATTTATTTATTTTTTATATATTTAGCTAAATGTTTGTAATATAGAACTTTCCTTTATCTATTCACGCAATATTGAGACAATATCCAAGTTAACATTTTATTACAACAAACGCGATTTTGTAAAAGCACGAAGCTCTGGAACTCTTCTTGTTTTAGTGAAGAATATTATTAACACGTCCCTCAGGAGCCAAGGGTTGTCTTTGCACTACAATTTTGTTAGATATTAAAAGTAAGTTCAATCCAGAAACTCCCAAAGATGGTAATTTTGGACGTATCTTTTCGAGACAACTCAGAAACAAGTTTTCGTTTGTTAATTGACAAATATTTAAGTGAAATACAACATCTTCAAGTCTCCATACTAGCTAGTACTAAGGTCCACCTGCTGGTAGTAAATTCAGTATATATCAATAAAGCCACATTCTCAGCATCATTAATTAAGCAATTATCAACCTTTTATGCTTCTGCTATGACTTTTTTTATGTTTTACTTTCAACTGAGATACGAACGATTCCACCTACAATTCGGTAGGGAAGGTCGAAGCATCACGATTGTCAGCAGTAGGATGAGGAGACAGGAACACTTTGAAAGCAGCTACAGGTATAATATTGTACTCGGCTTGCTGCACAATATCTACCAAGGTGGTTCTAACCGGTTCCTTTGGAGACTTCCATGTTTCTTGTCTTGGTCGTTAAGTTCGTGATGCGCTGACGGATTTCAGTCACTTACCACTTCAAATCACTTTTCGCAGCCCCAACACTAAAAAAGTGCGGAAAATGCCTTCTTGTTAACCAATAAAAATGCTTAAAAATTCAGTTCAATTTAAGAAAAAACGGATTGGGTAGTTTTTTTACAACAAAAATGTCCCCCACTGGCTCGTAAGGTGCCAATTTTATTACGTATGCTAGTTATAGCTCTGCATGTGATCATTATAACTTTTAAAATTGTATTTTTAAAGTTAAGAGCATTTATTTTATACATCAATACCAAAAACGACACTCTTGTTAAACCTGAATCTTATCACTGAGTTTTATGTGATTTCTCTTTTCAGTGGATTTAATCACGTGCTAGCTTTCAAGAGATTCTATTCACGCTGCTTGTAACATCATATTTCACAATACATTTGTCGCAAAAGTTACAAAATGATAACTGCGAATGATATTCTTTGTAAACAATGCGCTGTAACTGCGATTGAATAACTCAGTTGGGCATTCTTCATCAACATATAGTATTTACCAAGCACCCAAGAACAGTCTAGATAGAAAACATTTCAAGATTACCAATTTTCTTACAGCTCTTTACATTTAGATTTCTAGTCTGCATTTTACTGAACTGTTATGATAAGATTCACGGGACGATGAAAAATACCCATCATATTAAATGATAATAAAATAAAATACTGTTTTTTGTTTTTTAACAATAAATAAAGAGCGAGTGAAAAAAGTAAAAAAAATGAAATGCAACTGAAACTGGAAATAATCAAATATATAGAAAAACCAAAATAGACTACAAGCACATTATTATCCTATGCTACACAATGGGCTATCTGTGCTCTGCCCACCACGGATATTGAAACTCGGATTCTAGCGTTGTAAGTCCGCAGACATACCGCTGTGCCACTGGGGGGGGGGGGGGTATATCACATAAATCTCTTTCAGTTGATTATAAAAATTCCCTACATATCATGACTGGAATAAAGTTTTCGCTACGATATAACTGTTTACAATCATATTATTTCCAACTCGCTATGACAACTGCTATGATTCGTTACATAAATGAAATACATAACTAATATACTGTTTTACATAGTACGACACTTTGCACTGCGACTAAGTACAAAATAAACTATTTATACGCAGACATAGCGCTTAAATGTAAAGTAAAACAGTTAAAGTGGTAAAAACTTTAAAAAATTACCTACTTTAAGCTGCGTTATTTTACAGTTAATTGATTTTTTGCGATATCTTCTCCAGTATTATAGGATGTTACAGTTAGTTGTTACGTCACGGTGAATTAGAAGCTACCACGTACAGTACTAAAATGACTTCCACGTATACTGCACTTTATTAGGACTACCCTCACATATTTGTTGAATAATTCGTTTAGTTGTGAAGGTAAAATAGATTATGTGATATTTGAGAGAACTGTGTTATACATACAGAAGCATAGACGTAGTTAAATTAAGGGCAGTCCTCAAGACGATGAGTAACATCAAGGGGGATTTCAGCTTAGCAGAAGCTTTGGTAATGAAGATTTTCTTTGATGGTTGTTAAAAGAGTTCAGCAGCGGAAGCAATTAAATGTTAATACGTTTGCCAATAAGAAACACTATAATCGCCAACCCCTGGTGACCAACTGGAGAAAATTATTGGATGGGCTCGTAGAATGAAACACAGATTGTGCCCCAAATTATTGAATTGGATGTAATGGTGTACGGAATGTTTCCATGATGGGGGATTAGTCCACTTCTTTAGAAAGCCGTACAGTTGAAAGTTGTTACCGATCATTGTTGACTCTACAGTGCTGCACTTCCATCTTGATGGACAGAGGCTTTTCACAAGACATCAATACAACAATCCATCGCGTTCGTATTGCCCGAAACTTATTCAAAGAACATGTCATATTTCTTGCTCAACACAACTACGACCTCATTTTGATTAAGAACCTTCCCTGAAGACTATACCCCCTCAAGGAATGGATCACAAGACACCTTCTGGCATGACTAAAGTACAGTAAGTCTCGCGGATTCCAGGACAGAAGGTGGTCTAATGAGTAGATTACTGTATTGTTTATATAATAACTAAGTATGATAATTAAATAGAATCAGAAACATTTTAACTACTAGTTTAGTTACTAAAAGCTAGCTTGCATATTTTCAAGTTAACAGAGCATCGAATTAATTTCTTCTGGGTTGATATTCTTTCCCTTGGTACCAGAGATGCAAATACTGAAAGTAATTATAAAATTCTTTTGTCACATTTTGTTTGTGCAATTCAAATTTATATATTTTGTATACAAAAAAATGGGTGTATTTAATTTACCAATATTGAAGACGGATTTGTAATCTTTGTATATGTTAAAAACATTTGTATTTCAAGCAACGATAAGCCAAAAAATATCGTGCTGCGAGAACACTTCAGATTTTACACTGTTTTAGATTTATTCTTCAACAACCCACTTCCGTAGGGTTAGAGCTGTTCTTCGGATACATTCGGGATTGAATCATACTTTATTCTATATATTTAAAATATTTGTGAATTTATAAGGATACCTAGGTAATTATTACTAATGGTATCTCTAGTATTGTCAGTTAGTATTTTCAAGTCTGTTGAGAATACGGGAAAAGCATTTGCTTAATAACACAATCCTGGTGACGGTTTGTGAAGTTAAAAAAAGCTGGTTTACTTCTTACACTTTTTAGTCCACCCAAATAAAGTGACAATCAAGAGAGTTTTAAAGAATGACAAAATCAGTAAAGGAAAATGAAAAATGCTTCTTGAATATGTCACTTACAATGAATCTGATAGGATTTACAGCTATCAATCGTATCAGTTCTGTACATATAACAGCTAGTTATGGACGAAGCTATACAGTTGTAGATAAACATCAGTATGAAAAACTTACTGAAATCAAGTATCAATACCAAAATAACACCAACCACTGAAATATGTTTCAATTCAGGGCAGTTCATGTCCGAATGTATGATAGTAAATTATTTCTCATACGCCATTGTTTTATCATTTATTTTTCTTTAGTAAATTATAAGAACACGAAGTAAAAGTGAAATAAGAAACTATTATCAGTCAGAAAGTATAATAAACGTTTTACTATTTTATAGCAATGCAACGTAAAGTATATTTAGTATTTGTATTACAGCACCACTATCGTTTTTTCTAATATTTTCAAAATACAGATGGCTTACATCGCTAACAGAAATTACGTGTACGATGATAATTTCCAAAGATCACGATTTTTTTTCTAATAAGACCGAAATATTTGTAGGATTAATTTTCGGATTATTGGAAGTCTTACCGATTCAGTTCTCAACCAAAGTTTCATAGCAACGCGACAGTTTACTCGTCATTGGAAGAATCTATGGGACTCTAACTGCACATGCTCAAGACCAGAATGCTTGAACGCGACCATGTTGCCAATAGGTGTGGGGGTACTATGGAAGGTTGTATGATGGGCATTGAGAGGGATATTTAGCAAATAGAGCAGGCGATCGCTTCCCAGAATCGATGACGACGTCGAGCAACCACTATTCGCTCGGTGAATTACCTACACAGAGACTGGCTTTCTTATTCTCTGCAGCTGATGTGAAGAAGGACAGTTTCTTAAAGATTATCCGAAATAGTAAGCGGCTTTACTATTGTTTAATCGTATGCGGAAAAAAGTCTTAACACATTATTATTGTGCTTAGTTATATATCACCTAGGTATATCCCTTATTATAAAAAGACGTTATTAGAGATGTACAAAAGCAGAATTTAAAGTAATTTAATGTGTTTATAATAGAGAACTGTGACCTTAGCAATAGAGCAAAGTTACTGCTTTCACCGACGACAGGTTTATTTGTATCAACCTGGTATTATCAACAACCATATACGTATATATATAAAACTCAATAGTTTTAAATTTAGTTATATGAATATTTTCTATTACATTTAACTTTCTTCGTTAATAGACTACGAAAATACATGTTCTATACTATAAACTAGTTCTATGGAAATGCACGCTCTACAGGAGCTAGAACAACACGGTTGAGATTTATTTGACTTAGTACAGTTTACTTAATCAGAATACAGAGGCTGAAGTACCTTTGCTATTATGTAAGTAAGTATTTATCTTTGTGGAATAGAATCAAATGATTGCGCGAACGTAATATAGTGATATATTAAAACAAAACCCCAAGACAGGAGAAAGGTTCTACCTTATTTAATGAAACAGCGTTACTTTTTGTTACATTGATCAATGACATTGTAATATTCATAGATTGCTCCGACTTCTCTCAGAGCAGCCTGCAGGAACTGCAAAAACAGAAGGATTCGTCATATAATATATTAAAGATCAGAGCCGTGTTCTCCCTACCTTTGAATACTGTGTCTCAAACTAAATACACAGAGGTAAGAGGCAGAAATAATAGTGGAGGGAGAAAGTGACTATACAGTTATTACATTTGCAACATGATTAATTTTTAGCTGTTACTATGAAACAAATAAATTTGTGTCCATTGTCTTCGTAATATTTTCTTTAGTACCAACTGCTGTTTGGTAGTAATATTAGTAAATATTTTATTTGCTAATTAATGCACATTTAATATAAATAATGGATAAAAAAAAGATTTATTCAAAGACGACAATCTAAAATTTATATACATCATTGAGTACGCCCAGAACGAAAGATTTTTGTACTAAGGAAGGTGTTTTCAGTTGTAAAAGAATTGTGCTTCATAATTTAAGTTATTTGAAAATTACAAAAACAATAAATAATAGTAGAGCTGTTTTGTTCTTGTCATTAATAATTTCTTAAATTGCAATTAAAGAAATGTAGTACTTTCTTTAGAATGTGTAAACTGTGCTGAATTCTATGTCGGTGAAACAGGTAATTTAAGATTATGGATGAATTTACATAAATTCCTTGTTAGATTTCCCAGAAAAAAATATTCATCATAGGCCAGCAAATATTTTAATGTATTATTGACAAATTTAAAAATCTGAAAACCATATTTTCACGTTTCACTTTTTATTATAGTAAAGTTTTTTCAAAATATTCCACAACTTTTTTGTAGTCTCTTTAAATATATAGAGGTAAGAGAGGTGAAGTAAAATTACTTAAAATTAGTTATATTAGATAATATTTGAATATATTTTAATGTACGTTAGTATGAATTGTGTATATTTTTAAGGTGTATATATTTTATTCGTTTTATTTTTAGCTTGAAAAACTGTCTGCAAGTTTGTTATCTTGAAAATTACATCTTAAGGAGTGACCTTTGAAGTCACGAAACCAGTAGAATTTTAATCAAGTCATATCACAAAAAGTTAGAAAATAAAATTGAAAGAACAGGTCAAATAGTTGTTTTATACATATATCTTATTCAATTGTGAATTACAAGAAAACATAAGAAGTTAACGGTGATAATTTTCACACAAGATATGCATAGTGTCTTTTATGACTACCACACACATACATTCTACCCGTTAAACAATAGTCTTGTATCACTTATGCATTGTTGAAGGTTTTTGTTTTTATTCGTATTACTTATATTACTCTGTTACTAAAACAGACTTGTAAGGCTCTTGATTTATATCCTTTTAGACATATAAGTTATCTGTTTTGGAATTGTTTTTATAGTTTAGCTTAAGATTTATATACACCAGTACTGTTCCTCAAACTAAATAAATATGTCGTATTAGTTGGGCCAAAGTTCAATAAGAGAATTTATCAATGTTAGAAAAATGCATTTGTTTATAATTTTTGTTCCCTGTACTTTCAACGACTTTTTTGTTGTTAGACGTGATTTTGGCAAATGCACAACCCCCCTCCCCCACTGTCATTTCACAACCATACTCCCCCTCCCCCACTGTCATTTCATTTCGATAGGCCAACAAAAGATTATGTTCTTTCTTAATGGATGAACATGTTTGAATATTCTGTAGTTAAAAGGATTCCTAAACAGAAACTGAAGCGTATGAAATGACGCTCGTCAAATGTGGAAGGTCTTGAGTCAGAAGTGACGAGAAGTAGGATACAAGGAAAGAAAAACTTCTCCAAGCTGAATAAATATACAAACGCAGGCCTTTCATAGGGTAAGCAACATGTCTTGGATCACCCTCTGGAAGAGATATCTTAGAGATGTTCAGCCAGAGGAAGCACCTTTCGTGAAGAATAAACTAGAGTATAGCAAATTGGCAAGAATGACATTGCGAGTCAGGAAGTAGGGTGTGAAATATTTGATACAAAGCTTCTGAGGATGAAGAATGTTGGGTAATATGATACGATCATACAACTCCTAAGTTGGACTGGGTAGCTTTATTTTAAAAACCAGACGTACAGCATGGCGTTCGAGCATAAAAAGTTTTTCATAAAATGAAGCGGCAGATATCCACGAGATATGACATGCTGCCCATTACAACTCTACCACTTCCAGTGTGCAGATCATTTATGTTGGAACTCTGCTAGTTGAAGTTGACTGGTCAAATAGTTATGTCATCTGCCAACAGTTTCAGAAGGACTTCTCTGTAATGGATGAATCCACTCCACAGATGACGCAGGAAAGATGGAAGTTGTTATTTTCGTGAAGATGGTTTAAGCTTCTGAGTGAGTGTTAACTTCCTAAGCAGTGACGCCCATCTTATTGCAAATTGTATGGTACAACCGGGGGTTGGCGGATTTGGTTTTGTTTTATAGCGAAGCCACATTGGGCTATCTGTTATGTCCACTAGAGGAAGTCAAACCCTATATTTTAGTGTTGTACGTCTTAAACCTGCTGCTGTCCCACCAGCGGCAGAGTTAGTGGATATTATGCTGAATGTTAGTACGGAAGCAGTACTTATATTTGCAAAAAATAAAGAACGAGCTGTACGAAACTTGGAATCCACATTAGAGAGTAGGAACGATGAAATACTAGAAAAATGTTCAGGGTTCATTTGAAGAGGGACTGAAAAAATACATGAAGGCCAACAAATGGCTGTGAAGATGATGTAGTAGTAGTAAGTGGATTTGACTATACGAAGAACTGCAAGATAAGAAGCAACAGCAGCACAACGATGTGTAGGAATGTCCTAGTAAAATATGCAGAAGTACCATCCTTGACAGACAAGAGGGTCTGATGGTAAGATGACTGTAGCTGGAACAGCACTTGAACTCTATAGGTGGTTGGAAGTCTTAAATAAGGTTTGGGTTTCTGATTGGGTTTCTCAGAGACATTGCAATCTTCTCAACAAAAGGAGGCATATGATAATGCATCCTTGCAGTACATACAGTAGGACCTTCAGCTACAAAAATAAGTTAATAACACGGAAATATTTTTAAACTGAGTAACTAGCAAAATGTAACTCACCAAGAAAACTGAAAGTGATCCAAATACTAATGCTAATAAATGTCTATGATAAAAGATGTTCCTCAGGAATATCACAACGCTCACTCCTCCTCTCTCCCAACTCTGCTCAGTTTCATGGAAAAATCATCTACATTTTATAATTAGTTTCATTAAATCTTGTTAGCTATACTGTGCAAGTTAAGTTTAAATAATTGTTATGATTAATTTTTATAGCAATGAATACTATTTTGAATTTTTAGCTTAATATATATGTATTTGTGACTAACCTAAACTTTCCGAGCTGACTGAACTTTGTAACATACTGAGATTACAGCGAAAAGTGTTATTAGATGCAAGTATTCAAACTGATGTTTCTCTGCCTAATAATTTTCTGGTATATTGATTAATGACATTAGGGTAGTCAGAGATTACCCTGATTTCCCTCAGAGTACCTGCAGGAACTGCATAAACAAGAGGATTTGTTATATACTGTTTCACAGATCAGAGCCATGTTCTACCTTTGAGTCTTCACAGGAAAGCAAATAGAGATTTGCAAACGATCTTTATTGCATTAAACACAAAGAAAGTTAAGCCTAAATATTGAGAAAAGTGCTTATGTATGGACTAGGAGAGAAAACTTTATAGTCCTACTAGTGTAATAACTAGTTATTAAGTCGTGTTGAACCCAACTCAACTCTAGCAGAATGTATCTCGAATAAAAATGCTTCACAATGCAATCTGTAGATGCTTGTCAGGTTTCTAGCAAATAATAAGTCTAGCAGAAGTGTATAGACTTCATCTGGTTAAATTCTTTTTCAATCTACCTTAAAGTAAATATATCCATCTTCTCTATCCTCAGACACACACCATCCGCGTGACCGAGGGCCACTCTACTTTCAACAATGGATGGAAAACACCCCCCCCCCCCAGCTAATCCAATGTTCTATTGCTAGAACAGATCACTACTGTTCATAGCATGGCTTGTACTACAGTAATCTTCTAAAGAACAATTCATGCAACGGTCTTGGCTCTCCGAAAAATCCCATGAGTAAGAGGAAACCAACATAGTTCTCTTGACCAATGTTGTATAATCTATACTAAATATAGACTTGTCACTGAGTGTTATTTAGAACTATATTCATTAATCAACAAATTAACTTGGAGGACTAGTGAATATTGTTTTACTTTTTCATTAAACGCCAACACTTTCCCTTCCAAGTTGCCAAGGTGGGAATTGTGTTCAACAACGAGCTAAAACACTTCCGTTGTCAAGTAATATACACAAAGTTCCAACTTGCGAGTACTTACACACAGCTATGTCTTGTGGAATTTCTCATCTGTAGACATCCAAGACCGTCATTGTCTCCCCAGATGTTTTATAGTACTGTAAAGTAGTAGATTTTTCGCGGGTCACCTCCAATATCACACACTCACGCGTACATATTCAGGATACATAGTGTTATGTAATCATTATCTTTCCTGATTGATATTCCCACGGGTCTGGAAGGGGATGAGCCTGTAATCGTGCGGCAGGTGCTTTATGTACCTAAATGCTCCATGTCCCAATTTGTGGGGGAAAGAGACTAGTCTGATGGCTTTCAGTTCCAATAATTTGTAGAATATTCTTGCAGTATTGTTACAGACCAAAACGAAAAGCATATTTTATTGTTACGTAGAACTACATCTCTTTCAAATTTTATGTGGGAATCCTGTAAAGTATTACGGCAGTGTTGAAATACATTGAATTGTGTTCATATGTCCTTAAAATTTTGTACCTGAATATTTCGCTATATCAATTACTACATATTAAGCCGTATAGAGTCGATCATAGAATCTGTTATCAGTGCTACGAGCTTCATGGGCGTTTACATAAACTAAGAATCCATTGTAATGTTTCAATTTAGCTACCTTTACAAATGACATTCATTTTTTTCACCTCTTTGACAGCCAATACCAGTTCACGTTTTTCACTTATATATATATATATATTGTTCCGTGTCTATTTACGTTGGTTTAGGGTGTGATATAGTTGTATGAAACTCACTCAAAAGATCCTTTGTACTTTGATTTATTGCTACTACT